CAGAAAACGAATGTATGATCACATATGGAACCAATGTAATGAAAATTGGAGGTACTACCACCCCAACCAAAATTATAACAGTTAATTATAGTCTAAACTTTTCACTCAGTACCGACGACATGAATTTACTGCATGACCTGCTACCAATGGTACCAAGAGTAACTCCAAATTTCAACAACTACGTCAACTCATTAGACCAAATGAACAATCAATTGATAAACTTGCGACACCAAAGAAGAATCTTATCAAGCACCGAAATGGCACTCGACATATTAAAATACTTAGGGTACATATCATTAGGTACTAATAACACTGTATACCGTGCGTGAAATAGGATTCTTTAACCTGTTAAAACAATTCTAACCTAAAAACGTTTGTATCCAAAAATTTGCTGCAACGAAACCTCTGTATCAAACAATGCGCAACTACTAGCTCAACCCCATCGGCCCCAGAACATAAAAGCCATACCACAGATACTTCTACTACAAATAGAAGACTACACCAAGGAGCCACGACACTTTCCCATAGATCGAATGACATCATACTCCGACCTAAACAAGATAAAAATCCCAAAGAGGGTGTAATGAGGCCCTTATCATCTCCACTTCCGGCTAGCGACAAGATAACAATAACCAGCTAGGAATACAACCAATGTCGATTGTAATAAGATCCGGTCAGCAACCAGATAACAATAAATGGAATGCGACCCCCCACATCGGTACCGAACACTGTATAAATACCCGTCACTCTTGAATAAAGGCAGATCGGTGTTGCACGCTAATTAGTACGCTATCATTATTCCGTCGAAACCTCTCCCGAGAAATTTAATTCGCATATATGTTTACTATGGTAGATTGCGACCTGTTGCTCTGTCTCGTATACAATTCGTATCGTTTCACCGAAACCTTAGCATTGGAATACCATGGTCTTCATTTGCGAGGATAAGATTAAATTCCTGTGATATTATCTTGCTAATACGATACGCAACTAACCATCACCGTTTCTTATCGAGACCTCGATAACATTAGCTTAGTCGCGTAATCTATCGCGTGACAGTAATAACGTCGACGTTTGGGGGGGGGGGGGGGGAAGGCCGGAAAATGCCGACCGTCAGTTATACAAAATTCTGTAAGTACGTACGTCCTTATCGACTGAGCCGCCTATGGTAAAGACGATTCCACGATGGAATGTGTAATTCGACGATTACCGATTACAATTGAAGAGTAAGAAGGGGAAACCAAAAAAAAAGGGGGCGGGGGAAGAAAACATCGATGTGCAAACGTAGGGATCCCCGCGTACTTCGAGTCCTCGACGAACGTTCGACGAGCGATTCTCAATGCTTTTCAGAGTTTGTGTTCGAAGAAATATCGAACAGATTCGCGGTCAGACGTTTCGAGCGACGACGATATCTTGCGAATTGCAGCGTCCACGGGTCATCAATTTTTTAACAAATGTCCTCGTTTGCCTCTGGTTCCAAATCAGCCGGAGTTCGAAGTATAAATTTAATAAAATAACGCCTTTCGACATTTGATTTCTTTTTTTTTCCAATGACTTTTCGTGGTGGTGTGGAACGAAGATGACGAAGGTAACGAAGCAGAGATATCGTCGTCGCGCGGAACAGCTGCTCGCGGTTGTGTAATCACGATAATGATTACGTTAGGGCAAGTCGAAGGAACTATGCGATTCGTGTGTCCCGCGGCGTTCATCGTTTTCTTGTTTCCCAAGCATCGGTGAGACAGGATCGGTGACACCACTGGCCACTAACAGAAGCAGGTCCGGTCATGGACTGGTTCTTGGGCTCGTCTCGTGAATACGTTCACTAGTTGGCAGTGTACTCTGTCGACAAATCGTCGCGTTTGAATCTTAGTTAGGAATAAAATGTCGACGAGATGTCATAAATGTTATAATATAACAATACATAACACATATAATATAAATCATATAATATAAGAAAAGGATGATGAAAAATTATGTACAAAGTCATGAAACAGAAAGTGAGCATGAACTATTAATAACTGTCTAACTAAACCAAAGAAATAACTGGCAGAGTGAAATATGGTAAAAATATGCAATTAAAGAAATGATAACTGACTGAAGAAACATATAATTAATAATATGTGACAAAAAATATAACTAACGGAAAACTAACAAAATAATAACTAACTAGAGCGACTGAAGTATCTATAATAACTAACTAAAGAAATAACTGGCAGAGTGAAATAAAACTCTGAAACTAAAGAAATAATAACTAACTGAAGAAGCACAACTCTAATTAATAATATACAACAAAAACTATAACATATAATAAAATGAATAATATAAATGATATAATTAATAGAAAACTAAAGAAATAATAACTAACTGAAGAAATATATAATTAATAACGTACAACAAAAAATATAATGCACAATAAAATAAATGGAATGTAATAAATGATACAACTAATAGAAATCTAATAACAACTGACTGGACTGCAGGCAGAGTGTTTACCTGATTTTCACGTTGGAGCTGTCGATCACCTCGCCGTCGCAGTTCCACACGCTCAGGCTCGATTTTAGATAGCGATTGCTGATCTCGTTACTGGACTGCATGTGCAGAGTGGGCAGAGCGCGGAACGTAAACTCCCTCGCTCTGTACACCTCGACAAACGGTAGATCGTACTGTGAAAACAAATCGGAAACGAATCAATCAACGATAATCATGCTGTTATCTTATCGGGGGATTCTTTTTTGCTTTTCTCTTCATCGGGAAGGAATTCTAATTCATTTCATCTATACGCGTATATTAACCTTTTGACTACTGTTGGTAGTTAATAAATAAGGATTAATAATAATAATAATAATAATAACAATTGTGCACATACCAGAGTCTTTTGTTTGCTGGACAATCTCAACAACATTCTAATGTTGTTGAGGAACGAGGTATGTCGAACTAGGATCACATCCACGCAACCGTCACCGACGTGACAATGGGGACTAAAGCCCATGGGACTCCTGGAGCAGCCACATGAGAGATTCGCCCCGTTCACCATGAAGAATTTCCCTCTGACGGTCAACCATCCTGAAATGCAAATTCAAGCAGATTATAATAAAGATACAGGGTTCAAGAAATTAGTAAATGATAGTTAACCGGCAACTAACTGGATATTTCCTTGTCTGGAATACTGTTGTGCATATGCTGGAGACATCTGGTGCAATTTTTTATACACCTCGTGCTAGTCGCTGGATGGCAAGGGTCCGACAGAAGGTGAATCTCTCCCTCGTAACCTTTGTTCGCGACGATTTTCTTGAAACCTGAATCAAGGTTACGAATTAATTACACTGATATTTTAACCTTCAATAATTGTTAAAAAATGGCGTAAAAATCGGGTTCTATACAAGAAATTCGGTGGTCTATCCCTTTCATCGTTGCGTCCTTTAAACAGAAAATTAAAATGTTTTTTGTTCAATAAAATCCTGATATTTCGATTTTCGACAATTCCTGAAAGATGGCGCTATCTACCTCTTTCGCTGCCATGTGCTCCTAATACAAAAAGTCATTTTTAACTGTGAACAACGCCTGAAAAATCGGATTCTATGAAATCCATGGTTTATCCCTTTTGCTATCATGTCCTTTCAACACAAAATCGTAAAATTTGTTTAACAAAGCCTTCATTATATTATCGGTAATGTCTGAAAAATGGCGTCGAGTTTTAAAAATTCGGTGTACCATCTCTTTTGCTATCGTGTTCTCCTAATACAAAATCGTTTCAGTTTAATTTAACTATCAATGATGCCTGAAAAATGGCAACGGGTTGTATGAATTCCATGGTTTATCCCTTTTGCTATCATGCTGTCCCTTTCAACGCAAAATCGTAAAATTTGTTTAACAAAGCCTTCATTGTATTATAACTATATCGGTAATGCCTGAAAAATGGCGTCGAGTTTTAAAAATTCGGTGTACTATCTCTTTTGCTATCGTGTTCTCCTAATACAAAATCGTTTCAGTTTAATTTAACTATCAATGATGCCTGAAAAATGGCAACGGGTTGTATGAATTCCATGATTTATCCCTTTTGCTATCATGCTGTCCCTTTCAACGCAAAATCGTAAAATTTGTTTAACAAAGCCTTCACTATATTATAACTATCGGTAATGCCTGAAAAATGGCGTCGAGTTTTAAAAATTCGGTGATCTATCTTTTTCACTGTCATGTTCTCCTAATACAAAATCGTTTCAGTTTAATTTTTTTAGAGAAACCCTAATAGCACTTGAAAAATGATGTCACGTTGTATGAATTCCGAGGTCTATCCCTTTCGCTATCACGTCCTTCAAGAATAAAATTGTTTTCACGAAATTTTGTTAATAAAACCCTGATATTCCAACTTTCGATAATTCCTGAAAGATGGCGTCAAATTCTAAGAACTCGGTGATCTATCTCTTTCGCTATCGTGTTCTCCTAATACAAAATCGGTTTAATTTAACTATCAACGATGCCTGAAAAATGGCATCGAGTTGTATGAATTCCATGGTTTATCCCTTTTGCTATCATGTCCTTTGAACACAAAATCGTAAAAACGTTTTGCTTAACAAAGCCTTCATTATATTATAACTATCGGTTGTGCTTGAAAAATGGCGTCGAGTTTTGAGAATTCTATGATCTATCTCTTTCGTTGTCATGTGCTCCTAATACAAAATTGTTTCAGTTCAATTTTTTTAGAAAAACCCTAATAATGCCTGAAAGATCGGGTCGTATGATTTCAGTGGTCTATCCCTTTCGTAATTTTCTTTTTTTTTTTATATAAAATTCTAATATTTTAATTTTCAAAAATTCCTGAAAAATAGCGTCGAGTTGTGAGAAATCTCCTTTGCTATCATGTTCTCCTGTTATTTTCCCAATTCTGGCAAGAATCCGTTCTGGGAAAGTAGGGAAAGTAGGCATTTACGTATGTTTAATAGATTTATTTCACTCTCACTTGCAACAAATACATTGCTGTATACAATTTATTTACAAATACATAACAAATTCTTATAGTAAACAATATATAACATTATCTTCAAAATCTCCCTCTTTCGGTTTCTCTGCAGAATAAAAGATCAATGTATCTTTTAAGTTAAAACCAATTTTAATAATCACTCGATAATTCTACTCGTAATTCAACTCGATTCTAACAACACCAACCTGGTTAGTAATGCGTCTAAGAACAAAGTTTCATACTCACTACGTACAACCTTAAATTAAACACACAACGGGAAACAGGTACTTACCTGCACGAACAATAGAGTTTACTTACTGCGGTCTCATTCTATTCTTTCACTTTTACCCGCAAGAGTGCGCTCCAGAGTGCGCTTTCAACTAGCGCCATCTTCTGTTACTGCAATTCCCGTCCCCGTATTCGTAAAAATCTCGTCGTACACTTTCGCGATACGTTTCGCCTCGAGACGTGACGTTCCCCGTTCTCTTTATCTCTTTATCTTTTTTTTTTTTTTTTTTTTTTTTTTTTACGTGTTCCCTCGGTGGTTCAGTGATTTGTCACCGGCTCTGTGAAAGAGAGGCGTGCCCTCTCACCAGCCAATACAACAATTTATACAAGAAACGTCGAAGCGAGACACTGACTATACAGTACTCGCACGCGCTCTCTTTCTATGCAGCCTGCACTACCGCGAGAAACTAGATCGAAACTAGTCAGCTTTTTCAACTGAAAGAAACTTGTAAATCTCTTTCTAAGGCCGTACTACTTCCTAACGTTCATACTTTCAAACCTGTACAATGCAAGGTATCTCTATACAAATTTTATTTTTTTCTTTCACTTATTGGCCTCGTTCCAACATCCCCGTCCGACGTTAACTGACAGTTTGCAACCATGGAACACCACCTTCACCACTGAGCTTTCCTACATTATCGTTTTTTCCTCCAACTTTCCCCACCGTGTCAAACGCATACATATATGTAACGAAATTGCTACAAGTAAGAAGGAGCTTTCATCGATCAAATCTTCTAGATTACGATAAATTAGCCCTAATGAATCGCACATTTTAAAAGAGAACAAAACACAGTCTGATTCATTAAAAAAAAAAAAAACATTCAGTCATAAAAATTTCCTTCACCAGACTATGAAACAGGCAAATATAAAGATCCATGGAACTACAAATGCAACGGAACGTACGTATAAGTTATTTTCCAGTGCAAGAGGTTAAGAAAGGATGATTTTTTTTTTTTTTTTTTTTACTTACCCGAGTAATCGTATCTCTGAGGTCCCATCCAGCGAAACTTTTCACTGTCCCGTATCACGTCGCCCAGGTAGCCGTAACTGAGCATGCTGGCGTACAGCCTGAGCAGCCTGCGATCGCTGTGCACGGAGGAGATGTCGAGGCCGGTGTTGTCACCAAAAATGATATGTATCGCCGCTGTTTGCACGTCGGTGGTACCGTGAAGGCTGTACGCCACCGTGTCGGTGCTTCCGCTGGGTATCACACCGATCGGAAGTCTCGGAGTCGGTAGATCCGCCTCCGGGTTGTTCGGGTCGATTTGTCGGTCCCTCGAGGCTCTCAGTACCAGGCCGTTGATCACTTCCGCGAGAGTGCCGTCTCCGCCGATGCACACTACCGCCTAGACAGCAGAGAGAGAGAGAGAGAGAGAGAGTTGAAAGGTGAGATGAAAATAAAAAAGTGTCTTTTGTAAAAAAAAAATTCCGTAGATTTCTAGTTTACCGGCTTTTGATGTTCTCCGTTTTTTTTTTTAAATGAAATTTCTATATCTGGTATATTTGTCAGTGTGGAAGATTGGAGATGAAGGAAATACAAAAATGCAAAAAAATTAGGAGTAGCCGGTAAAGTAGAGATTTGCCAAAGATTTATCCAAAAATGAGACTGCAGAAAGCTCAAAGAACGAAACAGAGGATGAAACTTGCATGAAAGTCGCTCAAATCAGCGGTCAGCAGGGTGTCACGAGCGTGGCCAATCCTCTCCGTAACTAGCATCTTCGTATCGATGCCAGCGATGGTCATCAGAGGCTGCACGTCCTTCTCCCAGATCTTCAATCCCTTCTTCTTACCTCCAAACGGATTGACGAACAACAAAATCTTTCTAGGACGATGGGCCAACCCTGCGAATCGATAATTTGGAATTCTCAATACGCTGAACGCCACGTGTGTCGGGCGTCGACATAAAACGGATGAAACTGATGGTGTCCTGATGTTGGGAATGAAAATTTTAATATAATTCTTTAAGATAATTCATTAAACAATTGATTCTTCTTTCTAGCAACTAGAGAATCTAAGGAGAATGTCTGAAAGTTTTGGAAGTTAACTGAATTTAGTTGTTCACGGTGGACAAGGATAGCCTTTTCTGAAGAAACGCAACGCAGCAAACAGGGAACAGGATCAATACCGTCTCTCACTGTCGACGACAGGATACACAAAAGAAAGATCAGGTTACACGCGCGGCGACAAGTCGCTTTGTTGTTCTTTCGTTTCACTTCCACGTTTCCTCCTGAGAGAGCGTAATTCGTCGGTGGCGTTTTGATTGATAGAAAGACCGATAAGTTTGTATACATAGTGATATAGATGGATATATTACGGATATAGATGTATATCCACTCGACGATCAGTTATCATTTAACCCTCGATACTTTATTCTATAATACCTGCGCAAGTGTTCCGCTAGTACATTGTTCACAAAAATTAGGGGATATTTCAAAGTGAAAATGATTAAAAAAAGAAGCATTTGATTTTGCTTCTCTGCTTTGCTTTTCTTGCTTTCTAATGTTCTTGTTTAATAAAAAAAATCAAATGCTTCTTCTAAAACCATTTTTCTTGTTTGTTTTCGTATTTGAAAAAGAAGGTAAGTTACGTATAATGTGTAATTAAAGAGAATTAATTTGTGTAATGTGAAGAGTTTCAAACATTCTTATCCTTTAAATTATAATTTACTAGCATTGTACCAAAAACTAATGTCATAGCGTGTCAATATAGTGTTTGAACGTTATGGTTACATTTCTATAATGAAACATTGTCGTGTCATTAAAAATAAAACAAGTGAGTTATCTCTCGGATCAGATGGCCTGGTATTTTAAGAGAGAATTGACATGAAATTGTGTATAATAGTAAATATTTTTCCAGAGAATATATAAAAGAAAATCAACAATAGAGGATTACAGACAAATAAAGGGTTTTAGTCTTTTCCAAAAGATGTCATTTCTTTTGTTTTGTAAATCTACAATTATCTTTTAATTTTCTGCTTGTAACATTATAAATTTATATGTATATCTGCTCCCATATTTTTTTAATATATTTCCTAGATATTTCATATATTGTTAGATTTTATTATATTTAAGATATAATATCCTTTGAAAAAAACAAGCCATCATTCTCCAGAAATGTACACTATACATAGAATAGACTTATTCTATATATAGTTTGTTATATCTACTAGTATCGTTTACTAATTTACAATAGATTAAACAATAATCGTGGGTTAACGTTTCGCTTTGCTTACGTTTATAACGATACTATCTTCCTTTATGCAACAAAGCAAAGATGTCAGCGTGGATTGAAAAGTTTCTCACGTTCGGCAAACCTTTTCTAGTTCACCTGTTCTACTGACAATGAGTAGGGCACAGACCAAGTGACCCACGATGAAAGTATACCAGTGAACTTTTACAATTTCTTCCTAATTATCCATTCGTGACACGTTCGCGTGTTTTCCTCAAAAATACAGTCAAATGTAACAAATTCGAAATAAATTGATAATTTTCTACCGCCGGTTTGTACCGTGTGCGCGAAGATCTTGAAAAATCGCCAACCATAAGTCGTTGCTCGCGTTAGAAACCGGTTTCTCCGGAGTAAGTACAAAGTATATTAGTCTTGTTATTATCTTTCCTGAAAGCCTTGGACTTTGAACGAAGTGACGTCAGAAAATAAAATCTTGGAGAATAAAAATCTCGACTCTCATGATCGTCTGTTTCTTCGACACGATTGTTTTTCAACCACTTGCGCTGGCAACTGATTGCGAACCATAACGAGCGGCCAAACCGTATACAATAATTCGTCTCTTTCTTTTTGAATCTGTCGGAATGACATCACTGGATAGAAATGATTGAGAAGTAACAGATTTATTATTCGTTTTGCCCGTGTATTCGGTTACACTTAAGTATATATTTAAAAAACTGCGAGAAAATATTGCAATCTTGGGACAAAAAATTCTCGACGTTCGAAGCAAGTGGTTTAGGTTAGGTTAGGTTTGGCAGCGTGACAACTGATCCGCGAGAGAACCAACTTTCTACAATTCGAGAAAAAAGATACAAGATACAATACTTAACCAGAAACCCATACCGAAATACGATGATCCGATAAACTCGAACTCTTTCGTCGAACCTCGACTCGAGCGAAGATACCAGCAAATTAAGAAATTCTGAAAATACGTTCCGAGATCGACCTCCTCGTACAAACTTGGAAACTTTTCGCCTACTCCGCGATTATCCAAAAACTTGGATCGAGAGATAAACTCGAGGTAAACCCGAAACGTTATCGGCCATTAGCTATAAATCGAGTGTGAACTCCTCGGTGTCGCGTCGAGGCTAAAATTAGCAAACAGCTGAGACACTTATTTCGAGCATCGTTTATTAATAACTGAAAACACCATGAGAAATAACCCTGCGCTCCGTGCGTCAATCGCTCTTGAAATATGCAACCGGGGCAAAGAAGCAAGGGCCGACGAAGTCTGCGAAAGAGCCCTGTTTATTCAGCCCGGGGAAATTGCACGCGCGCCATCCTCCAGCTTCTTTATGCGCTGAATGAGCATGACGCAAAAGCCTGGAGGGGGACGTAGATACGCGCAAGAAGGGCAAAATATATGTACATCGGTAGGTGGGCGCGAGAAACTACAGTTTCGCAAGGTAAAATGTCGTTTTCTCCCCCCGCGAGGTGTCATGGCGTGCTGGTCGATAGAACGCCACCGGCTTACTGCGGTTTCTCTTCCTGTTCACTTTCTGCCTGTAGAAACGCGGCCTAAACCCAACTTCAACGCCTGGCCCCGCCCCCTTTGAGCAGTTCGAGTCGAGCTCGAGTTTTCCCGCGTTTTCCCCGCGCTTTGACTCCCTTCGGGGCTTCGACGGTTATTTCGACGCTGAAATTTATATATAACCTAAAATGACCAATTCATAATTTTTGTTAGAAATCCTACGAACATGTTTTTGGAAGTTTTAAATGATTTTTCGAAAAATATGTAAATAAAGGCGTGTGTAATTTATTTTTATATTGCATTAGAAAGCTTTCCCCTTTAGTTTTTTTTTTTTTTTTTTTTTTTTTTTACTTTGATGTATCTGATGGAAATTTTACGCTTCAGTCATTGATAGTTCTGGTGATAAAATCTCGAATCCCTCGACTTTTAAAATGGGAGATCTTTGGACTTTTGTGTAGACTCGAACTCTAGATTAGATTTCTTCGAGAGTCTTCGATGCTTCTTGAATTTCCTTTATTTCCGAGCTTAAAATTAATTTAAACCTAAAATGACAAACTCATAACTTTTGTTGGAAATTTTATGAACGTAAAATAACGTATTTTTAAATATTTAATGAATTTTCCGAAAAATATGTAAATAAAAAGGCGTGTGTAATTACAAAGCTTTTCCCTTTTTTTCACTTTATTTTAATGTATCTGATGGAAATTTTATGCTTCCAGTCGTTGGTTCAGTTCTGGTGTTGAAACTCGAATCCCTCGACTTTTAAAATGAGAGATCTTTAGATTTTTGTATAGACACGAATTCCAGACTAGAATCTCCTTGAGAGTCTTTTTGATACTTCTCAAATTTCCTTTACTTTCGAATTACTTAAAATTCTCCAATTCTTTTACATTTGTAGAAAAAACGTAGAGGATATCGGAAAAGTTTTCTAGATAAATAAACATAAATAAACAGAGATCGCTCAACTTTGTGAAGTGGGATATCGTGCTTTTAGTGAAAAATTACACAAAAAAAAAAAGAAAACACAAAAAAGCGAGAAGAAAGGACAAAAAAGTCACGACGAAAAATAGAAAGAAGATAAATTTCAGTCGTCTTTAACGGTTAGCAGTTACCGCTATTTTTAATCCGTTTTACAATCCGACTTCTGCTGCTCGATGACCGATCTTCCCTCACGTCTACAAAAGATCAAAGTTTGCCGATTTTTATCTTTCTTCTGTGTTTTTCTTTTTTTTTTCTTTTTTTTTATTCTCTGCAGACTGGCGAAAGAACGTGCCTTAATTACGCAGCCTTGATCCGTAACCGGCGACCCAGTTCCACCGTGCGCCGCGTTTATAATCCTTTCTACTCGCAACGCCGGGGAAACGCAACGCCGGTTTACGAGAACAAATTTTTCCAATGGAAACGTGTTCGAACGTCAGGTCCGAACCTAACACACGTTCGTGAATTATTTCGTGAGAATTGTTCCCCGCCGCGAAGATTAATCGTTAAGGAATAACGTTCTTAAGCAACAGGGGTGGCTCGACCGATCGATACCCGTTCAATTATTTAAACGACCAGCGCTCGAATCGAAAATGAAATGTGTAATGTGATAGCGCATGCGAGCTGCAGCACGAGATTCAACTTTCACCTACTTTTCCTCCGTTTCGTGTTTTCGCGCACGATATTATTAGCGCCGATCGATCGATTTACAGCGCAGCTTGAGGTTGTTCCCTCACTCTCGATTTTTTATTTTTTTTTTTTTTTTTTGGTTTCTTTTTCGATATTTATAGTCGAATAGGCTGCTGTAGAAACAGGGGAGTTTTTTTCAAACGAAATTTCACCACTCTATTCGCCTTCTATTTTAGAAAGAATCGTTCCGACTCGCAGATATATATGAGGCGTCAACGATCCGCAAAATAGTTTCGGTTGTTACTGATACGAGCGAGCAGCCTCTTCAGATTGCGTTGCGTTCTCGAGATGTACAGGGTGTCCAGAAAATTCGGTGTTCAAACCCATTGCCAGTGCATTCGACAGGCACGAGACTAAAATTTCTAGAGTTCCAAGACCAAGAATGACAAGCGACGAGAGCAAAATGGAGGACTAAATGCTTCGTCGAAAAGTCGTAACTTACAAAAACGTTATGTGAAAGTTACAAAAATACGAAATGTTGTTATAAATAATTTTTAATATTTTTTTAATATTTTTCAATATTGTTTCAATATTTTGATATTATTTTAATATTTTTCAATATTGCTTCAATATTTTAATGTTTTTTAATATTTTTCGATATTGTTTCAATATTTTAATATTTTTCAATATTGTTTCAATATTTTATTATTTTTCAATATTTTCCAATATTGTTTCAATATTTTAATATTTTTTAGTATTTTTCAATATTGCTTCAATATTGTTTTAATATTTTAATATTTTACAATATTGTTTCAATATTTTAATATTTTTCAATATTGTTTCAATATTTTATTATTTTTCAATATTTTCCAATATTGTTTCAATATTTTAATATTTTTTAGTATTTTTCAATATTGCTTCAATATTGTTTTAATATTTTAATATTTTACAATATTGTTTCAATATTTTAATATTTTTCAATATTGTTTCAATATTTTATTATTTTTCAATATTTTCCAATATTGTTTCAATATTTTAATATTTTTTAGTATTTTTCAATATTGTGTCAATATTTTAATATTTTTCAATATTGCTTCAATATTGTTTTAATATTTTAATATTTTTTAATATTTTATAATATTGTTTCAATGTTTTAATATTTTTTAGTATTACTTTAACATTTTAATATTTTTTTAATATTATTTTAATACTTTAATATTGTAATATTTTTTAATATTATTTCAATACTTTAATATTTTAATATTTTTTATTACTATTTTAATATTTTAATATTTCAATATTTATTATTTTATTATTTTTATATTTCAATATTTAAAAATTTATTTATTTAAAAATATGAAGTATTAAAATATAACATATAATAAATATTAAAATATAACATACAATAAATATAATAATAAATGTAATATATAATAAATATAATATATAATATAATTTTTAATATTTTAATATTTTTTAACATTATTATATGATATTAAATGACTTTTAATGATATTAATAAATGCGTCGTTAAAAAGTCGTAACTTACATGAGTCAAGTAAACATTACAAAAATACGACATATATATAGTTATAATAGTATCTATACATAGTTGCAATATGGTAGTTATAATAGTAATGATTTCTAATAAGAAGTTCTCGTTAAAAAGAAGAAGAAACGTATACTTGTCTTACCCATGAGGTAATTCCGGATGGTCTTGACCCAGGATGCGACTTGCCTAGGATCGGTGTGGCTCATGGTCACGCTGTGGTGGCTCCATTTGTTCTTCGGTCCTGGCACAGCGTAGTGGAGAATGAAATTCGTCGGGCAGACGGTTGGCGAGGTGGGCGACGTTGGCGGCTGTTTCTCCTTCACGTTCACCTCCTGTATCCAGTCGTCCCCATAACGAACAGCGAGTACGTCGGTCATCGGCAGCGTCCATCTTGCTGGAAACATTCGGAAATATTCGTTTCGAGTCGAAATTGGAAATTGCCTTTTCTTTTTTTTCTTCTTTTTTTCTTTCTTTGCAAGTTCTTGCAAGACTGCTTACGAAATACACGAAGCGAAAAGAATCGTCATCGTTGATCCCTTTGTGTTATACTTATCGATCGCGAAACGATGCAACCTGCAGATTGCACGATCCACTTTTAACGTCGATAAGAGTAATCTAATCTGTTCTGTTCCTCTCGACCTTGTAGTCACGAGCATAAACGACTAGATTGAAAATTTGAGAGAGACTGAATTCCCATGACTTTTCTTTGTAAACTCGTTCTCGACGAGTCACAGCTGGATAATGGATTAGAATGAAACGAAAGGAACGTGCTCTCGACAGGAACAAAGGTTCACCGTTCTTTAAACTATCGTCTAACGATGACAATGACAACGAAAAACAGTATAGATGCATGTGAACGTGTATACGGTCAATTGTTTCGCAGAATCGATAACGGGGCATAATCTAACTGCACACTGCGCTGCAGTTACGCGACACCTAATTAATCTGAAATCCAATCGAAAACGGACGAAGCCAGCCAGCGGTCAGTCAAACGATAATCTACACGATCACGAAACTGCAAATATGCACCTTTCGTCCGATCGATCGATCGATCGATCTCGAAAAATGAACAAACAAAGAACTTCCAAAGAGCTGTTTACTCTGTTCTCGAGTGGTGGCAAGGTAGTGACGATCAGGCTAGATAATCGGAAGATAATCGAAAGTGCCACGGTGCCTCGATGACAATGACAACGATGATTCTTATTAAATCCGCGATTTCTCTCGCGAGAACATTTGTTTCGAGCAACGAGCTTTTCGATTATACTCGTTCGGCAATATCATCATTCGAGATGTCTGTGGTAAAATTTTTTTGTAAAAATTGGACGTCCAATTTCAAACTTGCTTTCTCTATGCAAAATGTGCTTGATGATGAATTCCACATCTCCTTCGATTTGATGGGAATACGTGTAAAGAGTCTGCGAAATTTTGAACTTCAAGGTCAAGTTTTCTTTTTTTTCTTATCTGTATTATATTCTACTCATCATTAAGGTCAAATTTTTCCAGAGAACCATAGGTCGCAATCTAATAGTTTCCTTTTGAAAAATGGCGAAAAAGTTCTAACAGCGACTTTATGATTTCGGACGCATGGATGTCTGTCTTACATAATTTTCAAATTAGGTTTGAATTATCGTAGTCGTAGCGTCGGTGCGAGTCTAAATAATCAAATGACCAACTGTGAACATTATTCGAAATATAAACGTTATATGTCCACCCGTCTAAAATCATAAAGTCGCTGTTAGAACTCACGCGTGCGCAGTGAAACTTTTTCGCCATTTTGCAAAAGAACTATTAGGTTGCGACCTATGGTTCTTTGGCAAAATTTTACCTTCGTGACGAGCAGAATACAGTGCAAAAGAGAAAGGAAACAATTTTTTTGACCTTGAAATTCGACGTAAAGTCGCTGTTAGAACGCACGCGACCGCAGTGTTCAAAATGGAACGTAGAATAATATTTCCAAGTTTCTTCAAACCACAAAATAGAATACACCGACAATTTATCATTTATATTATATTATACCAAATTATACTAGCTTATATTACATTATATTGAATTATATTAGCTTATATTATGTTATATCAAATTATATTAGTTTCGTGTGTGAAAACCAGGATTTTCTTTCGCGAAACGGCCGAAATGTGACTATCGACGAACGGGACAGGCTGTCGTTCGCAACGACCATGCATATTCTGCATACGTAATCAGCCAGAAAAGCACGACGATGAACTTGAAGCGTACAGATAATGAAGTTACGTAAAAGATAACAGGCGCTGCAATACTGCTACGATGATGCACGAGATAATGGATTGACAAAAGAAAAAAAAAACCTAATCGAAGCTAAACCTAACCCGAACCTAACTTAAACCTAAACGAAGCGTTGCTTGTGAAAAACTTGAAAAAATTCCTCCGTTTAAAAGAAACGCTCGAAGACTGGTAAGATTCATCAGCGATATTTTCGCGAGCGTCGAAATTTCAATAATCTAATCGATCGATCGAAGATTCGAAATTTTCCACGATTCGAAATATCGGTTAAATAATAAATTTATTTCCAATTGAACGATTTATTTGTTACTTTGTGAAAAAGATTCTTTTATTATTTACAAGGATCGTTATTTGTTGTTTGACTTTGACAGAAATAACTGGTTTTTCCAATGTATGATGTCCAAGACTCATACTCATTTATTTCTTATTCTGCTGACTGTTATTTCAAAGATTAATTGTCAATAAATATTGTTTCCTCAAATGATCAATTTTTCAATTTATTATTTTCCCAATGTTATTTCCACAGCTACAAGTTCCCCTAATTGGTGCCGAAGTCCATTATTTGCCGAGTACTAACGAACATTACTTCAAAGATAAATTTACAAATTGTCGTTTGAAATCAATTTTGTTTATTAAACAGTGGTCAACGTTCACTTCTTCCTTTTTTTCTCGTCATCGACGCCAAATGGTCCCACCGCCTGTTAATTTCATCGTCTGCGACGATTTAAGAAATTATCTCCTCGTTATCGCGTCGTTATTCGCACGTTGTATTGATAAAAATACAATTAGACGTGATAATAACTTTCGCGTAGCATGAAACGTTTGCAGGAAGTAGACATTTTCCTGGATTCTTTCGAGGGACGAATAATCCTGATACGTCGACGCTAGGTTAGGTTAGACAAGAAGCGAAGATTTTGTGCAAACTCCCCGAGTTGATAGAATTCGCTCGATTTGATTCGCGATTTAATTCGAAGGCTTCGAAGCCTCTGTAATTCGAATATCAATCAGAATTCCTTGGGATACAAAGTATGAAAGTTGGATCGACGAGAAGTCGGGAGATGCAAAAAACATATTGCAAGATGAGTCTGGTCACGAAAGAACGAAATTTATTTTGCTGATAAAAACACATAAAACAAAACGTGGATTAAACTGATATCGCCAAACAATAATAAGTTTATCTCGAAGGCGGCCGTAAGTAAGACTTTTTCAAAACGTCAGAAAGTCGATGACTAATTACGATTCTAAGTCGGTGATTAATTATAGTAATCTTTGACTCTGACATGGTTAGAGAATTTCTTGCAATATTTGAGAATTGCAATATTTTCTCAGTATTAAGTATATTTAAGTAATACAAAATATAATCATATTATTATATACAATAATATAATAGTAATATATTTAAGCAAAACAAATAATTTATTACTAATTTTAAAATAGTATAATAATAAAATATAAATAATAATAAAATAATTTATTACAAATTTAGTATAATAATGAAATATAAACAATAACAAAATAATTTATTACAAATTTATTACTAATTGTGTACGATTTGGTCACTCGTTATGGTCCGCAATCAGTTGCCAGCGCAACGTGGTTAAAACAGTTTGCAGTCAATAGCTAGTTGAGAACCACTGACAGATGAGCTCGGCTGACAGAAGTCTAGATAAACGTAAAATACACACCCCCGATTTAGCGAATTCGAAATAAATACGGCTCCAATGTCAGAATCTGTCAACCTAGGCAGGCCTACCAGTTTACCCAGCATTTCTAATCTGCTAGCTCTCGTATCGCTCTCGAGTAACGCGGGTCCGGTAAATATAAATCTGCGCTAAAAATATGGCGCACATGGCCTATTCGAACGAGGAGGATCTAGCGAGAGTATCTTGCACTTCTTCCCGCGAGTGCACTCGCATCGATTCGTTCCACTTTCCCGCTCGGCTTATCGCCTCGCATGTTGCCAGTCACCGAACGAAGAACACCTTTTGCTTTTCCTCTTTCTTCTCTCTCTCTCTCTCTCTCTCTTTGCTCTGCACGTTTCGTTCTTTACTCGAATTCACACGCACAGCGAAATTTCGATTCAGAAGAACATTCGAAGCGCAAGCTAAGTGAAAGATCTTACGTCGTGAAATGTTCGTTTGTAATGTTGTTACCTGCAGCTTCTGCAAAGCAATTTATTGTTGAAATCGAAGCACAAAGTTCCAACTTGATGCATTGCTTTCAAACGTCCGTCGCAGGAATGACCTTTAGTTTCATTTCTGCGAGATGAATTTCGAGAAAATTATTGAAGAACTTTAACCTCTTGCCCTGGAATGATCCTCAGCTTTAAGTATATTTAGGTACAACCCAGGCAAAACAAATAATAAATTGATTACTTCTCAGTAATTTCTATCAACGAGTTCAAAAGTACGGTTTGGTCACTCGTTATGGTCCGCAAACGGTGGTTAACAAAGCTGCGTCCACGATCGTGGCCGTGATCAACAGAGCGAGGACGATGTTTTTGGAAAAATCCTGCAGCTAGCAGGAGCCGAATGTCCACCGCACGTGATGATCGGTATTGGAAGCACGGCCGTGTTATTCACGGTCGAACCTTGATTGCAGTCGTCGTACGAGGGGAATCCGTAATTCCGGGCTCGCGCTCGTTCCCAGTTTGCGACGCACTCGTTCGCCCTAAGTTTCTTCAGGTAAATTTAGGCAGCCGTCCGCGGTCGTTCACTCCGCCGAGACTGGTTCCGGAAAGGTCGCTTACTTTTGTGAAAAGTAAACGGCCTTCGCCTCACCTTTTGCGCTAACCACGAGACCACGTGACTACTCCGCTCGCTTCCTGCTCTCTAGAACAAGGCACATCTTCCAATATCTTTCTCGAGATCTCGTCGAATCCTCGAGGTTCCCACGGATCTCAGTTTCACGTGCCCCGAGGTACGAAACGAACCGATCGAGCCATCTCGTTCGAAGAAAAAGAGCAAAACAATTGAACTACTTTCGAAAATAATTCAAGGTCAGGACAAACGCATCACATGCATTAGGAGGGGGGGGGGGGGGTGTGATGGCCGAAAAAAAAAAACAGGCGACCAGCTTGTGGTCGCGCGATTACGTCAATTCCGCGGCTGGTCGAGTGGAAAAAAGAAAAAAAGA